AAGGCCAATTTTTGTTCCAATTCTTCTAGCTGGGTGACTTTGCAAAAAATTATGTAACTTCCCTGGGCTTCAGCTTGTCACATATGAAATGAGACTGGGATTCTTGTTGAAGTGTTTTAGAGGGTGGGGCGAGCAGGTGCTCTCAGTGGACATGAAGCAAAGAAAGCAGGATAAGGAAGGGGAGAGAACTAAGCAAGAATACGCTGTGTCCTCTCTACAGCGTAGCACATTGTATTCACTCAGTTAATTCTGTCCCTCCCTCCATAATGAGGAATACTTTTATAATGACAAGAGGTAGTGTACAGTAAATTGCCTTAACCACAGAGACCTATGTGATGAAAACCGATTAAGAGATTACATAACCAGCTATTAACAAGGTTTTTTGTTAGTATCCCTTTGCCAGGAATCTGCTAGTATTTTCTACTGAGGAATAAAAGCTTAAGAATAAATTCAAAGGAGAAAATACTTAAAAGTGGAAACACTGTATTCAGTAACCTAATTTTGGGGTGCACATCAGGAAGGACCATCATCAACTTGAGGTTGGTGACACTGAACATCATCCTTTGTGGTAAAAGTTGGCCAAACCCTTATAGATGTCAGCTCAGGAAGACCATCCCCTGCTGATGATTGTGCACACACCTTGAAAATTCAACTTATATTAAAAAAAAAAGTTCCCAGGTGGAAAGCAAACCAGTAATAATAATGTTCATAATAACAACATTCTCAAAGCTCAGAGTGACTTCATATGCTACCCTTTTTGTATTTACATATGTATGGTACACTGGAGTTTATAGGTATGGTCATATAAATTGCTCAGATATTTAATGAACTGTTCAAGGTTAAATATTCTTCATTGCTCTATTTATCCTTATTTTCCCTCTTCCATTTTCCCATACATACACCCTTCACATTGTTTGCCTGGACCGTTTTCAGATTTTCCAGAGCTATCAAACCACAATTTTCAGTTAATTCGATGAGCATGTGTCAGGGCCACAGGACAAGTGTTTAGAGCATCTCACTGCAATGGTGCCTGGTGGCTGGCTACTTGGGTCTAAAAGTATGGTCAGAACAGAGAACCATTGCATTTGACTCCAGTTCCTTTTATGAATGTATAAACTGACATCTATTTAACCAATTTTGACGGTTTTCTTTAAAACTGCTTAAAATTTCCCACATTGCTTTTGTCAGTGGAGCTCTTCAGGGTGAAGTCTGACTGCCACTGGATTCAGTGGAAGTATGATCTGGTCCAGTGTGCCTTAAACCTGTCTGCAGGTACCAATACTGGCCTCTCTTTGGGTTTTTGTTTATGTGTGTATATGTGTTTACAACTAGTGTGCCCCACTGTCTGTATTTTTCTGGAGTCTTAACACAAAATTCTTTTTCTCTTATTGCAGGAAATTATCGCTAATGTAATAGTAGGCCTAGTATCACTGAGTTCTGCTTATAATGAGTCCCCAGTATTCCTCAAGGGAGGAGAGGAACAGGTTCAGAGAGAACTGCTAGCAAGCTTAACCTTCTAAAATCTTGGTCTTTTTTAAATTGGAAATGTATTTCAGATGTAGTGCTTTTCTCACTTTTATAGCCTGAAGTGCAGATAAATAAGAGAATCAGTTCCTGTTTCTATGTCTCACTGGTATTACCCATTAAGCATATTGTCTGTATCAACTATTGAGTTCGAGTTTCAAATAGATGTCTATTCCCCTATCTTATGCTTTTATTAAAACACATAAACCCCAACAAGAGTTATCCAGAGAGTGTCCAAGAAATATCTCACTTTCTCAGACAGGAAGCATGCGACTGTGCATGGCAACAACCTTCACTCTTCCTCTGAAGGCAGGAGTGTAAGCGAGGGTGTAAGGGTTTGGTGTGTTGGAATCATTATGGACTCTGTAGCTGTGTGCACTTAATATTATAAGCCTGACAGAAAACAGGTAGCATGCTTTTATACCCATGACAGGCTTGTTCTAGGGCCAGGTTTTGGCACTGATACAAAATTGTAGTTGTTAAAATACATGATTACCAATTATTAAAAGTTTTAAGAAGCACCTACTATATTTTAGATACACTGTAAGGTAGTTTATACACAGTATTTTTTTATTCATATAAGCCCCATGAGATGAGTCCAAGGAGTCCCCATCATCTCAGTATTCTTTACCTGCATCAGTGTAATTGTAAGTTCTGTAGGAGGCAAATCACCTCCCCCCCATCATGGTATCAGAATATTCACCCAATGAACTGACTGCTTATAAAGCCATCCCCCCAGCCACCCAGCCTCCTCCATTAACACACACGCTCTGTCACTGCATCAGGGTATTTGCTGATGCATCTCCAGCTGCAAATGGAATGTACACCCACAACAGAGGGGCCCAAAATGGAGCAATCTGTATGCCAAATATTAAAGGGAGCACTTGAGAAAACTGATGAAAAGTGACTCGAAGACCAAAGAGTCTATGATCAAACTGTGAAAGCCAGTCGTGAGAGGATAAAACTTTTCTAGGGTAATCATAAAATTATGTAAGAAATAATCACTTTTTGTTCTAATAGTGATTGCATAGTTGTAATTGTCTGCATAGTAGTTGCTTTCGATAAAAAAAAATCCTTTGCATACTTTTCAGTTCCTTTAGGAAAAGTCCCATTTAGACATTTTATTATTTATTAAAAATAGTTTAATTCCCATTTGAAATACACTCCCTTTTAAATGGCATTTTCCCCAGCATGAATTATCTTCAGGTAATAAGGACTCTCCATATACTTAATTTTATTTTATAGAAGAGGAAATTCATGCTCAGAGGAGTTAAAGTACTCCCAGGCGGTCACATCATTTACTAGCTGTTAATTTGAGAGAACTGTTTCCAACTAGAGAATTTTGATGCTAAGTCCAGGTTTCTTTCCACCACATATCAGCTATTTTCAAACTCTTTCTCTAATATTCTGCATTGCATCATAATTTTAAATCTCTCCCATTTGGCCGCCTCCTCCTCTGCTGTCCCTCTGGTGTGAAAATTCATGATCACCAACAGTCCCTTAAGTCTCCTGCCATTAGGGCCCCTTTCAGAATATGTATGGCTGAGAGGTGCTTGGTTGAATATTCCATCCAGTCTGATGCTTGCAACCCCAGGTGATAGCAGGCAGCTACCAGAGGAGACAGAGGGCCTCCTTGTGCACTGCATCCGTATTCCATGTGGCTAGACTTTATATTTATAGATTCAGGATTTGTGGGAGAAGTGCCTAATTTGAGGGACACTTTCTCTGATTATTTTAAACAACCAAATATCCCTGACTTAGAAAAAGAAACTTATTAAAAGATATCAGGTGCCCCAAAAAGGCAGAATTATGATATGCTCCTTGGTAGTTGTTGGCATTGTTTGAAAATATCTTTGTGTTTGGATAGCAAAAGGCAGAGAAATCATAGGGCTGTGCCATCAGCGAGTGGTCATAAGACTCCGTTATCTCAAAACATTATGGCATCACTTTTTTTCTATTGACTTCATTAGGTTCCCCCCACCTCTGTGCCCAGCAGAAAATATCTGACACTACAATGGTAATAAATAAGATAGTCCTAAAGGAATGGTCATCCACATGCCACCAGTTTGAAATTATTTGGTTTTAATGAAATAGAACCTCTTTAGTTGTGATCAAGGTGACACTTCCTTGTCATTCCTACAGAGATGGGTAGAGAACAGATGCAATTATAATGATGTTAGGGTAATAGACAGGTCAAGAGAATAAACAAAGATTATTATAAAACTGAACAGTATTTAAGAATTAATGTAAAATCTTGAGCCAAATGTGTTCATCAAGCAGGGACAAGGTTTCATATGAAAGAGGTGATGTCCAACCTGTATGATCGGATTTGAGTGATGCTGGGAGGAACACTTGTCCAAACACGTATGTTCACCGCACAGGCTCTGCTCCGTGCCTAGGGGTGCAGGGTGGGTGGAGGCGGTTGTTCACCAAGCCTGTGCTATCGCTGACAAGCCTGTACCGCCATCCGAAGTATCTTTTCTGTTTCCCATAAAAGACCTAGCTAGGTGCTGTCCTTGCTGTGTTGCGTGAGCATCGTGGCTAACACAGCAGTCTTTGGAGCAAAAGTTTCTGGGTTTGAATCCTGTTTTGCAACTTACAAGGGTTGGTTGGTTTGTTTTTTCTTCTTTCTAACCTTAAACAAGTGACAAACGCTGTGCCTCAATTTCCTTGTCTGTAATATGGGGAAATAATAGAATTTTCCTCTAGGGTTGTTAAGATTATATAGCGAGCCAGTACATATATAAAATATTTCGAAAATTGTTTAACACATGGTACCTGCTCGATGATAATAATATTGCTATATCACACACTTTTAGATGCCAGATAATAACAGGTAGACAATTAATAAAAATATGAATTAAGCATTCAGTTAGTGCTTAATATATAAGGAGCACCATGTGAGGGACAGAACCCGAACCTCAAGGAATTGAGAATCCAGTGATTAGAACTAGGGTGGCACCTTCCCAAAGCATTTTCCTGGTAGTTTGGATCATGTGCAGTTTTACCTTGCTGATTTAGAACCTAACAAAGAAGATGCAACTCTGTTTAACACTTGTAATCCTAGCCTAAAATACAGGGTCTTTGAGACCAGAAGGTACATCTGGCAATTTCATCACTGTACCCCGAGCACATGGCAGGATGCCAGAGTTATTCCAGAGCTTAATAAAGAAATATTTGTTGAATGAATTAATATTCTGCCAGTGTTTCTGGGATCAGTCTATTTGGCAACAATACAGAGTTTCGATTTAGGATGACTGAAGAAGTAGAAGACAGAACTTCGGATCCTTAAGCATAACGCAGACCTTACATGACCCATGTCTCTGTAGAGGCCTAAATTAAAATGGCAGAACAACTGGAATCTGGACATGTGTGTTTTAATAAAGACTTCTGTACGGAAGGCAGCATTCTGTCCTTTAATTCCTTTTCCAAGCCAAACTCTAACGGGAAAGCTGACATCTTCCTTATGATTTTAGGTCGAATGAGCCGGACTCGGTTTGTCATCATGCCAACCCAAGGGGAAGGACGGCCGTGCCCCACAGAGCTTACCCAGCAGCAAGCCTGCCCAGGGACCCCCTGCTACAGCTGGATCCTCAGCAACTGGTCTGCATGTAACCTGGAGGTAGGTCACGTAGCGACAGTTAGAGAAATGCTCCTCAGCGTGTCCGAAGGACTTGTCTGGTCAACCCTGTGCGCTGATGGAATAAATTTCACAGCCCCAGGGACCTGGCACAGTGTATTTTTATGCAATGGAGAGCATGGGGAAAACAACCAAATGACTTAAGCTCATGCAGAGCGCTACTGCTAGGAAGATAAATAGCCATTTGTTAGGCACTATTTGTAATAAGCCAGGTCATGGGACTTACAGTCTCTTCAGCATCTTCAAGAATTCTCTATCTTCTTGCCTTGTTGGAAATATCAAAGTATTAGGTAATGAGGCAAAACCTGGATGCTATGGAAATGTACAGCTTGCTTTGGACTGTATTTCTTAGAAAAGTGCTTGCAGATTTAGACAAAATCTTGCATATGGGCAGAAAACCAAAAGCGTAGGGAAGTTATATTTTAACAGTATTAGATGAACCAAGGTTACTACATTTTCCTCAATGGTTGCTTTTTATTGACTTTGAAATATAAATGCTTAGTAACATCGTAATATTTCACATGCCCAGAGCTTTCGCTGGGTCAGCAAAGATCCTCTATGGCTTTTTCTCTGGCTTCTTGTGTAAGAAAAAGCACATTGATTTTCCCTGTTTTCTTATTTTACTAGCTTATCCTTCAGTTCATATTCCAAAGCAGGTTTTCATTTAATAACGATAACTTTGATGATGCATTAGGAGATCTGCCGAGTCGTCCCATAGAGACGTTTCGTGTTCCTGTCGGGACGACTGTCACACGGCCTTATCATCTTGCAGAAGTGAAATGCCCGTGTATTTTGATAAGTCCCAGAGGAACAAAAATGTGTGGTACATTTGTTCAGTCTCCTGTTTACAGAAAATAAGGTAACCGTGCTGATTAATTCCACAGTAACCTAATGGCTTTAAATATGAATACTTTGTCTACTTCCTCTAAAATCCTCTTTCCTGAACCTTCAGCAATTTTTTTAAGTGCTGCTTTGAATCACAATTAAGCAAATGGCGTATTTCTCCTTATAATTGTGATAACTATTGACGGAGTAGAGAAAATAAATGTGAGGAATGCAGGAACCCATTGCGGGGGGCAGGGAGAGGAGGGGGAAGGTGGCTCAGTGGGGGAGGAGGGCAGACAGACTCCACGCTGCGCATCTGGCTGGGCACACAGCTGCTTCTGGGCCGCACGTGGTCTTTTGTACTTGCCCTTTTATCTTCTCCTTTGGGACACTCTTTTATAGATAAGGCTGCCAATCTGTCCCATGGGAACATTACAGGGAAATGCCAAATGCCATGTGTCATTGTGCTGTCACACACTGAGCTTTGGCCAGAACCTTAGGGGCAAGTGGGTTGTGAGCATTCTCTGTAGCCGTGCTGGGGAGATGGGGGGCTGTGGCATCTGTTGGAGGAACCCAGGCAGGTGTACCCAGAAATGGCAGAGGTGCTTCAGATTTCCAGATGAGGTCGTGCCACTCACTGACACTTCCAGTCAGGGGGAAACTGGAGTTTTAGACTCAATCCAGGCAAAGCTCGCAAAAAATCCATGTTTGTATGAATTACTCCTGTGCGGGCACCTTTCCCAAATGAGGCCAGCCTCCCCTAAGACTTTGGAATGGGGTTGGAGCAGTTCCTGGAGGTGCCACATTTCCCCACCTGGTAGGTAAAGTCACTCGGAAGCAAGAACAACAAAGGAGGGGACACAGAAAAGCAGGGGACACACATAAATAGAGGCAGAGGAGAAAGGGAATCACGGTAACAGTCGACTGGGGTTTTTCCTGAGTTTGAAGTGCATCCCCTTTTCCTGAAGCCTAGTTGCAAGTGCTTTGTGAGATAGCACAACAGCTTTTCAGTGAGTTGCTGTTTCGTAAGTGTATATGAAGCTGAGTTTGGGGAATTACTCATCAAACTACAGGGGGGCCTCTGCACACAAAGGCAGCACACCCCTCTCAGGCCTGTCCCTCTGCCTCCTCCATCTGTAATACCCTGCCTGCCAGACGCAGTCAGAAACTCATGCACTGGAGGTGGTGGTGATGTTTAAGCGGCTGAATGCCTTCAAATACATCAAAATGTCCCAAGAGGGGCGTGCACAGGGCACAGTGGATGTGCCAGTTCGGCCACCGTCGTCTGTGGAAGGAAGTGTTTATCCTCGGGCTTCAGTTTTTTTTTTCAGGGTTTCCTAACTCTTTCCAAGTTCCTCAGCTGGTAACACGTATCCACACATATGTTGCAAAATCTGTTTAGGAGTTCAGACTCGGGAGTCTAGCAGGCTTAATTTTTGTTCAGGTGTTTACAGTTCCTCGCTCTGCAGTTTTTGCCAAGTCTTTAACCTCTCCCGACCTCTGCTGTCTTCGCTGTATCATTGGGGTGGCAATGGTACCCGTTTTGCTAGGGGTTTTTGGTCGGAGTTAGATCATTCATGTACAGTGCCCCGCAGAGTACCTGACATAAATTAAGAGTTCAGTAAACTGGGGTTGCTGTTCTAGTTTTGATTAAAACTACTATCCTGATTGTTAGCACCGTCTGCCTGTCCACATGTGGTGATGTGGATTCAGAGTATATACAAAAAGTGCATTGATGACTGGGGACGGTGGAGAGTCAGTGACAGAACTCTCGCTATTGACGATCTCGCTCTGGGAAGCCTGGCTCTCTCTTCAGGCTCTCTTGTGTGTAAAGCCTCTGAGGGAGACTGAATGAATGCTTGCTTTGTGAATGAAATGATCATTCTGATGCTGATTTCTCCTCATGCTGTGCCCGTTGTTGTCAAAGGTGTAAGAGATTAAGGCTGAACAGGGATACCTACCAGGAGCACATTACTGTTTGTCTTGTTGTTTAAAGTGATCCCTGATGTAGACTTGTTTCCTGTTATGTCTTCATACTTCATCTCCTGCAACGTCAAACAAAGCTCTAATCAATAGCCTCTCCTGTTACCCGAGGTTGCAGAGAACAGCAAAGTCAGATTTCAGGCATGCTGCAGTGTCTTCAGACTCCAGGTTCAGGAAGTCTGACACTCTCCAGCAAAATGTATACCTTAGACAGTTCTGTTCGAGGAACCATCATCTGGAATAATAAATTATAGCGAGAACCCTCCCCCAAAAGAAATTTAACTTCAACACTAGTTATTTTCCACTTTAGGGAGTAAACATTTACTAGAGCATTTGCTTTGAAGGAAAGTACAATGAATTGATTTTGAACCTCCACATCTCAAAAAAAAATACACTTAGGTTCAAAATTATGATGCATTTTTTTTAATAATTGCACAACAGCCATAGAGGTGATTAGAGCAGTTGTGATATATCAAGTGTGGGAACTGCCATCTTAAACAAATCATAATTCTTGTTAAAGCATCTCTAGAAAAGGATGTGATGATCCTAACTTGTGTGTCTACTCAGATTCCTCAGGCTTTAATTTGCTACAGCTAGGACCTCGTCCAAGTTTCACCTTTTTTTTTTTTTTGCCACTATGGCTTTGAATCCAAACTTTCTTCTGTCAAGAACTTTTCTCAGCAGCCACTCTGCACCATCCTGCACATCCAGCAGTCTGTCCACAACTAGCCCTTAATCCTCGGCCGCTGTTGCCACAGTTTCTTGACCTGGCTGGTGCTCAGCAGACCCGTCAGCCCCTGGGTCACCTGCTCCATGCCCTGGAACGCTGTCATAACTGCTTTAGTTGGTCGCCCTGTCCCTCTTCACTCCCGCCAGTACGAGAGCCACAGAAGCTCCAAGGCAGTGTCTGGGTCCTGGGGGGAAAGGGAGAAGGAGGAGCTGAAACTCAGTTTCCCGGTGTGGGGCACAGTTGTCCAACTGTCACCTAATCAGGGGCTGTAGCATGTAGCATCCTTGTCGGCAGCAACAGGGCCTGTGCAGAGGCTCAGTCTCTTTCTCTCTACCCTCCTCTCCACATCCATGTCAGTAGTGGTCATGAGAGCTCTAGCTACTCTACCAGCTTCTGGACTTAGTGGAGGCTGAGTTACATGCCTTGGAAGTATGGGGCATGGAGTGGGTAATACTCCGAGATGAAAGTTGATCCAAGGGGGAGCTAGAGTGTAAATGACCTCCCCCTTCTTCCTCCCTCCCCCCATCACGGATGGTTCTGTGGTGATGGACCAAGAAGCCAGCTCTGTTCAATTCTGCAGCTGAGGCCCACCTGGCAACACGCCACCTTATGTTTGCTCACCCTCTGTTCCTGCCGTGGTTCTTTTACTCTCCCTCTTAGTATCCTGTGATTTCACCTCCCTTGTCTAAAAACTTTTCCTCGGGCTTTGCTTTTTAAGGCATTTATGTAAAGTTATCCACATATCCAGTGGACTTCTTTTTGAAGTAGGAGCACCTGACCACAACTGAGGAGTTAATACTCATGAGTATCTGCCAAAGCGTTACGTTAGGAAGTCGTTCCTCAGGCAGATGGCTGGGAGATGACCACTAGAGCCTTCCACTTTGAAGCTTCTGTTTCTGTGAGACACTGCACAGTATTTTTCCTAACTGCCCAGAATAATCTGAGTAGGATTTGTATAAAATAACTTCAAAACATAATATTCAGCACAGAAGACACTCTGGGAAAACAGCTTCTTGTGGCAATAGAGATAATCAGTGTTTTCCTGGAAACCCAACCTAACCGATGTGAGGAAAGTACTGAATTCCCTACAAAAGAAAAACAAGCAGAGTAAAAGGGAAATGTATGCCCTGTGGCTGCACATGCTCTCCCGGGGAGGGATTATGGACTAGACCATTTCATCACACACACTAGACAAATTAGGTATTGTTTTTCCTTTACACTCAGTCCCGGCTGAGTTCCAAAATGAATCGTCGTATTCGGAGTACATAAATTTCATAGCATAAATTTGCGTTTCTACTTCAGTTTCTCTATCAGCTGTAGGAGAATTGCTCAGGGATCCCTTGCGTCAACAATTGAAAGATAACTGGCAAGAGGAGGAAGCTGCCGAAATATGCAACTAGGATTTTCTGGAGCAAGAGGTAGCGGGACCCAAAACTTGGAGATGATGATGACATGGGTAACCCTGACAGCATCCTTTCCTCTGACAGGGCGGAGACTGTGGGGAAGGAGTCCAGGTCCGCAGCCCCTCCTGTGTGGTCCACAGCGGTTCAGTGTCTCACTGGACAGTATGGGTAGAGGATGCACTGTGTGGAGAAATGCCCTTCCAAGACCGCATCCTGAAGCAGCCGTGTTTCGTGCCTTGCCCCGGTAAGCAACGGAATGACTGGGAATGCCTTCTATGGTGCCCTCTTCATTTATTTTCTTTTATCTGTTTTCTGGAGTTTTCTCTCATCAAAGCTGATGTTTTTAACTCACTTTAATTCATTGTTAATTGTGATTATCACCTTGAAATACACCTAACTGCTTCAATGGAGGCCAAGTAGGCCAGAGGGGAAAAATAACACAGGATTTGGAAATGTACGAGCAAAGGTAGAATCTTGTCACTCTCACACTCCCTGGGTTTTACCTGGGACACACAGTCAGTCCCTCTGAGCTGCGGTAGCTCCGTCTAGAAAATGTGTTAATAGTACCTGACCCAGCCGAGCACTCTGGCCAGCACTCAGCCCATGACTGAACCCTGAGTGAACGAAGCCCTCCCCTGGGCAATGACACAGCCAGACGAGTGAGGCCATGGGTTCGTGAAAACACGCTAGTAAACAGTCAAGTTCTGCGTTCTTGTGAAGGTCATTATTAGTTACATAAAACTTATACAACTTGTATGGCATCAGTTTAAGGTGGATTAATATACCCTTATATATATCCTGATAATATACATGTAACGTATGTATATACCTACATATGTACATACATACGTGTGTATGTTTAGATCATTAAACATTGTTTAAGGCCCAAGAAATTCCACTTCAGTAACCAACTTAACTCTTTTTGTATGATTTCTGTGAACATCCATTTTATGATATTATGCTGCTCTTTAAAAACTGAGTTGCTATAATCTTTACATTTCCTTTTAAAAAATTTTATTATCCCTAGTAGACACGTAGTGTTCTCCAGATAAAACTGTCATGATTTTTAGCAAAGTAATGGCAATCTAGTGTTTGGCACTCTTTCACTAAGTAAGATTAAACCATAAATTACTTCATCATTCTGAGTACTTTTTAACTAGAAAATTGGTCAACAGAGAATGTGTGGTATCTAGAACCCCCTCCTCCCGTATCACTGCACCACCACCCCGGCTCTCACTGTGGATGCTGTTAGGTACCAGTTCTCACATCGTTTCCTCTGCTCTGTACCGTGCGACCACCCAGGAGACTGCCATTTAACGGAATGGTCAGAGTGGAGCACGTGTGAATTAACCTGCATCGATGGAAGAAGCTTCGAGACTCTGGGCCGCCAATCTAGATCAAGGACATTTATAATTCAGTCTTTTGAGAACCAAGACAGCTGCCCCCAGCAGGTTCTAGAAACACGCCCTTGTACAGGTACCACGAGCGCTTTTCAGTTCTCAGCTCTGATTGATCAGTGCTTATTCTACTTTTATGGGAGGTATAATAGAACCGCTGTTACCGTATTTACTTGCAGGAGGTAAATGTTATCTCTACACGTGGAAAGCAAGTCTTTGGAAGAATAATGAACGGACTGTGTGGTGCCAGCGTTCAGATGGCATTAACGTCACAGGTATTCCTGCCTAAGATTTGTGTGGGTACTTTGAAAAGATCTGAGTGTTGTTGTTTGAATTAGCTTACAGATTATAAGCAAGGGAAGAAGAGGCAGGTGGCCTTAGATGATCTTTATGGCAAGTTACCAGTAGACCTTTGCATCTTAGAAAGCAAACAGTTCTATTTGAAGGCTCATAATATAGCAGACAACTTAAAGACATAAGCTGAAACAATACAATTTCCTTAAATATCATGATCTGAGGCAAAGACTGGAAAAGACTGGTGTTTAAAACAATGTCTCTAAAGTTATAAAAGATGTACCTTTTCAGTAAAAAAGTATTTGAGAACAGATCTCAGCATATCCCATTCCTACACTACTGTGCAAATACATCATGTTATGGAGTTAAAAGGGTTGATGAAGATAGAAAAATTAAAATATAGTAATGATACAAAAATATTTTACTGTAAATTATGTATGCTATATTCATCTACTGGAAGCTTCATTTTTAATAATGTGTTAGTCGTGATCATTATTTAATAGCTGAATACAGACGAAAGGAAGGGTCTGAGGACATTCATGATGGCAAATGCAATTGGCTGCTATAAATGATCTCAATCATTTTAAAGGGGATTTTTTTTGATGCCATCTTATCAAAGAAAATTAAGTTGTCATTCTTTTTACTAGCACTGTGGCTGACTGAGAGCTCATCGGAGGAATGGGAGAATTTCTATTTTTCTATAGCCATAGAAAGACTGTCAGCTTCACCTTTTGCTAGTTTACCTTTTTGTGCATCATTGGTATTCCTGTTAATCCATAGTTTACCCTACAACATGGACGAGTAGCTTACAATAAATTATTGTTTGGATATTGTTGAAACTAAATATACTGTAAATTCAGCTATGCAGGAACACAGAAAGCACACCCTCTGCAATATGCAGGGAGTTAACTGACTGGCGAGGGTTAAACTGTTACATTCTCTGCACAGAGCACCTCATGCCCAGTGTTCAACACAGGGCCGTCAGACAAATGAGTTCAAGTGCAGTATCACCTGCTAAGTGTTATCAGTGCTTAATTTCATTCCTCAAATGTAAATTAAAATGTTGCATAAACAACACAAATTCTAACGTCTTCTCCAATTCCCAAGAGATCCCCTCCCCATGGGGCGCACACACTGCATTGTGGAGATCCCGTTTCAAGTGTGAAAAACACCCCCTCCAGACTCAGTTGGCAGCAACGTGGCTGTGTGGGTATTGCCACTAACACCCACATGATCAGTTTCGCACCTCCCTGCTAATTCTAGTGGTGTTTTGTTTTGTTAATTTCTGTGGGGAGTATTTATTTTCCAAGTAACAGGGAAAATCTAATGGCTTCGTTTTTTAGGAAACATGTAGATCTGTCTGTTCCCTACACAGCCTTAGGCCCAGAGCTTTTTTTTGCTGGTTACAAAATCATGAACTATAGTTGGTTGACAATTATAGTAATGCAGAGGCTAGAACCTATAAATGCACCCAGTGGTATATAAGTATAGTTTAGACACTGCCCTCAAATAATATGTCAACTTCTTTGCTTAGTACCTGGAATCCAGAAGGGCATGACTACTGTATAAGTGTTTTTCGGATTATAGAGACATTACTCCATCCACTTACTCAGAAATATTTAATCAGCACCTGCGAGTACCATGTCAGATGTATGATTACCCTTCCTGGAATGTATACATTTGCTCCTAAAAACGTGTGTGGGAGTCTGTGTGTGTGTGTGTGTGTGTATTTTGGTTGAAATCCATTTTTAAATGCTACCAAAGTGTTTGACATCATGGTCCCATGAAGTGATTAGTGGCATTCTTTTAGCGTTTAGTTGCTGGGAATTAGTCTAGTGCCTAAATTTGGTATTCTTGAGCTAGGGGGAAAATTATGTAGAACAAGAATATTTGAGCATATATATTTTCTGCTTCTGAACTTAAATTGAGATTTCATCGATGGTTTCACTGATCCAGGCACTTCTAGACTTTGCCCTTAAGCACAACCAGATGATAGAATCACATTGCCAGTGTGCAGGTCTCAAACCTCTACTGAAAACATCTTCTGTTAGCAGAGCTGCCCATCTCAAACAGCTCATCCTGGAGTAATCAATAAAATCAGACTGGGCCACACTATCAGCAAACAGATTTTTTAAAAATAATGCTGTTACAAAGTAGCCAGGGCCGGAGAGGAAAGAAAATCAGTATTTATCATAGAAACATCTGTAAATGATGGGCTTTCCTTTGTAGGAGGCTGCTCCCCTCAGGCACGCCCTGCTGCTATTCGGCAGTGTAACCCCGCCTGCAGAAAACCCTTCTCCTACTGTACACAGGTGAGTCATGTGCGGGAGACTTGGACACGTAGTTTAATTGCTGCATTATTCATATGCTGTCTGACGTTTTCCAGTCTGCTTACAGCCCAAGCAGCACTTCCGTGTGCCCACGATACCACCTAGCGGCAACTGCAGGCATAACCACAGCTAGTAAGAAAACAAAGTGGTCTTTTTTTTCCCCCCTCAATCTATACATGGCCAAACCTCTCTTTCAGATACCTAATTTATGTGAGTGCTATTTATCAGTAAGTGTTCTCAGTTGATTTATGTCCTCCATTCTTAGCCTTTCATATACCTAAACTATTTTGAAAGGTATTATAAATGCATGTTCCTACTTGCTAAATATTATTTAGCAAAATCGATTACACCCTGATTACTACAGTGTGAGTAAATTTTAGTTGATTTTAAATAAGTTGACTATGTGACTATGGGTAATAATGATGTGTGTGTGTGTGTCTATGCATTTTTTAAAGCAGAAATCTTTTCTTGCCCCCTTACCTCCCATCTATCACTGTTCAGTAATTAATGCAAAAATGTACAATGTATTCTAATCAGTGGCACTTAGAGTATGCAGCGCATATATAAGATGTGTCATGTCTCTCAAGGAAACTAGTTTCTTCTTACTGTGTGTTCTTTCTAAAAACGATTTGGTTAAAAATAATTCAAGTACTCAGTCCTATTTTATGGCTCTTCTATGTCAAGGTGAGTTCATTCTTTATCACAGAAAACGCTAGTGATTAAGCTTCCAGAGGGGAAAAGAAGGAAAACATCAACCACTTCATGGGCTCATGGTGTTTGCAAAATAGGAGTTGTGGCTTCCAGCCAACTCTCTGGACACCCTCTTTGATAAAACATACATTTACTTTTTCCCTTGAACCTCTGGCATACGTGAGTGCCTGCAGCTTTTCACTCAGACTAATAGATGCATCTTGGAAAGATGGCTTTCCTAGCTGAGCATATTCCAATTTTCTTAATTAGTTCTCTCCACTGAACACCAAGTAATGCCTTGACTTAAAACCACCAAAGGGGGAGGGTACAGCTCAGTGGTAGAGTGTATGCTTAGCATGCACGAGGTCCTGGGCTCAATCCCCAGTACCTCTGTCAAAGAAAACACCTGGAACTACTGTAGTAATTGTCCTTATTAAATGACTGCTGCCTATTTGTTAAACTGTAGGCATTTGTTAGTTATATGCTTCTCTCACTTTTACTTTTTGGGGAAGATTGAGGGACCCTTTTTAGCTTTAGTATCCAGTCAGCAATGGACAGCCTAAGTACATGTGGTTCAGAAGGAAGGATTGACGTGAGGCGAGGGCCTGTTCAGAAAATTCCAGCTAGAGCTTCAGGCAAGGAACCCTCATTGCACAGGCAGAGAGACTCGTAATCTTACGCTTATTTTCTGTTCTTCTCTGCTGCCTTTATGTTTGGGGGGAAGGAGGAGCAGTTACTCTCACATCCAGACACGGATAGAAATCTTTGCCCATTATACTTTATCATAATCAGTGTCTTGGAGAGGTTTATTGTATGTGAAAATTACCTGGAATCCACAGATAACAATGACGGACACACTGTCATGATGCCGGCGGGAATGTGAGGTGGTGTGACACCGGGGTTGCTGCAGGATGTCTGTCAGTACACAGCTAGCTCCTGCTTCTCTTAGCCCTGTGTCTTTGGTGACGTCTTTTTTCCCCACTTGGGCTGCTTCTAGCCTTGGGCTGTTGCCTCTGAGAGCAGAACTAAGCCCAGGAGCAGAGAGGCAGTTGAGACCAGTTAGCGATCAAAGGTGGAAGGTGGTGGACTCCAGGCCTTTAGCAGCTGGGGCACCAGCAGCCCTCGAAGAGCACAGAACACAACGCAGATATGTACCCAGTTCCTGATGCTTTGCTTCTCGGTATCAAAGGGCAGGCTGGAGTGAGTGAGCAGGAATCGCAGACAGCAGGAGGGAGAGCTGAGGCTAATGTTTAATTGAATGCTTTAAACATCTCTGTAAGCGAGAACAGTATGTGCTTAATGCCCTCTGTTGACAGAGAATGGTGATTTTATATTTGGAAAGTGTAAGAATTGTAAACCACTAGGAAAACCTGATACTTTATTTAGAGTTAGACTTTGGAATTCAGAGAGATAAACTATTGGGTTTTCATCTCTGGCAAGCCTGGTGTCGAAAAACCCTAAATTGCCGTGACATACCCTGCAAATATTAAGTGATTCCAACATTCAAAGTGTTCTTTTTTCATCTGCACAGCTCATTGTGTGACCATGAACATATTTTTTTTGCTGTAGGGTGGAGTCTGTGGTTGTGAGAAGGGCTACACAGAGATAATGAGATCAAATGGTCTCCTGGATTACTGCATGAAAGTGCCTGGCTCAGAGGATAAAAAAGCTGATGTGAAAAACCTTGCTGGGAAAAACAGGCCTGTGAATTCAAAAATACATGATATTTTTAAAGGATGGTCTCTCCAACCCCTTGATCCAGGTACGTATCAGTTGTGAGTAAGAAATGTAAATTTTCTTATGTTGGGGGGGGGCTTCGGGTTCATATTGTGGCCACTGCTCATGGTGGAAAGAATGGAGGAAAGGAGGAAAAGAGAAGGAAGAGATAATATGGCCTAGTTCAAGGTTTCTCAAATTTGAGTGTTGCAGAGTGTAGCATGTTATCATGGGTGGCTGAGGATAAGTCTGTCCACTCCAATCTAAGAGACACTAAGTAACCAAAATATTAATCTTTAAAGCTATTTTAACTGTAATCATCTCTGCAGAAGACTTACTATGAATTTGTATATATAATTGAAATTAAAAGCAAAAATTGGAATAGTCTCAGGAACATGCAGGTACCTAGGGAAACGTCCAGGGACTCTGCGGTTTGAGAAACACTAGTCAAATAGAGCATCAGTTGCAGAGGCCAACAGACCTTACCGGCATCATGGCTCAGAAAGTACCTATTCTGTGACTGACTGTAATTGATTCACTTCTCTGGAACGTTTCCTCATCTAGAAATCAGTCTAGAGGCACCTACCATGCAGGAGTGTCATGAGGATTAGCAGAGTGTCAGGCCTGCAGGACTCAAGAATCAGTGGATGTTAAGGATAAGGATGAACACTTAATAGATGCTTTCCATGTTCCCTGTGGTTCCATGCTGGTTATGGTGCATAACTCATCTCATTACGCTCTAGCAACTTAACAAGGTGCCGTTACCCCCATGTTAGATATTAGGATTCTGAAACTGGCAGTGCAGACTAATTTGACCAAGGACAGACCACCGGTAAGTAACAGGAACGTTTGAAAGACAGGTCACTGAGGGCTTTCCATAACACTGGCCTCTACTTCCCACTCCGTGAAGTGGGCAGAAAATGAAAGTAAAACTGTGCCTACCCACATACCTCTTCTGGAAAACAAAATGCTGTGAATGACTAAGCGAAGCAGCATACCTGGTAAAGGGACCGTGGAGAGGGAAGGGACAGACAAAGCTTAGGCAGCTGCCCTGGGAACGCTCCCCCAGATGCTAGGCCTTTGCCATGCCAAAGTGCGTTGATGCCATGCTTAGATGAAGCAAAACCAGAGCCCAGGCACAAAGGACCCTCAATCTAGGAAGGAACAGGATGTACATGTCTCAGCCAACTTTTAAGGATGACCACAATATTTTGCTCAAGTTTTGATTCCCGCATGTCTGGGCATGCCATTAGATATTTAGAAATATCTTACTCACTTTGTGACATTTAGTGACATTTCCCTAATTTATAGCAATAGACTTAGATTTGCGAGACGCATGTAGACCCTATTTCAGGAAGAGAATTAGGGTGAGGTTCCAGGGAAATGAGTTTTTAAATTCACAACTGAGGTCCTTAACCTTTTGGAGAGCTAGCTAAAGCATTAAAATCATGTGTGTGTATATACATGCATATACACATATATACGCTACTGTGTATGTATTTAAACAAATAAAAACTCTCTGCCAGACCAAATACGTATTTTATAACTTTCATTAGGTTTTTGTGATGAGATTGTAAATTGGAGCAACCTCTCAGGAGGACTAATTAGGCAAACTCTATCATACCTTTTGACCTCAAGTTTTTCTTCTAGGAATTCATCAAAATATACACACATATACAAAAAGAATTATGTAAATGATATTCATTATATGAGTATTATATAGCTAATGAATGGAGACAAACTAAATGTCTAAATAGAAAAACAAAAATATACAACTGTGCAGTGTGTCTCATAGAGTTATTAAAAAGCATGAAATAGACCTGCCACTATGACTTAACATGCAAATATTTCCAATATATTAAGTGGAAAAAAGTACCAAAGTGAATGATATGTACCATTTGTGCCTTTTTAAAATATGCATGTATTATGTAAGTAGTCGGGTGCTTGCACAGGCAGAGAAAACTATGAGATGATTCATGGGCAACAGTGGTAGCACCTGTGTAGGAGGCTCAGAGTGGCAGGAAGACTGATTTTTTTTTTACTACATATATTTTTTAATAGTTTGTACTTTGATCCTATCCATAATGCTGTTATAAAAAGCTGCATTAATTCTTTCAGTAACATGGTTTAAAGGTCATGGACCACATACTTCTGCACTAGAGATTTAAAAGCACTGGATCTTCTAATACTTTATGTAGTTGTACGAGGTTTAGAGGTAATAAGATGAAAGATGCATTCACACTCAGGGAAGACTTTTTTTTTTTACACTGGCAGTTAAAAAAAAAGTCAAAATAGGGGATTTCATCATTAGTGTTTCAAAGAGATCAGAATCAAAGCTTTGTTCAAAGTTTTATGACTGTAGAAAAAAATACCATTACTACCTTGAAACCTCATTCTAAAACCTGACTGAGGCTCGAAAAGTGTCTTGTAAGCAAAACTGTAATAGGTAGTTACAGTATAATTGAAAGTAATTGTGATTTTATTCCAAACAAGTGCTGTTTGTAATAGATTTTTATTGTTTTTCATCCCATGGAAGCCTTTTAGAATAAGGATAAGATGCTGATCTGTGTGTGTGGGGGGGAGTTATTTTGGACCCATGGTTAATTATATTCATGTAAGGATAATGAATTCTGTGTGTGTATATCTTTCAGAAAGGAACATAGTTCCTTTGGGGTGTTAAGGTACTGCTACTGTCGGTCCAATTCTAAGTTTAAGTGAACTGGATGCTCACATAAAACAGCACAAAAACCACTTGATTTCCAGACACAACTCAAATACATACAGTAAGGTACCTCACATAGTCAAAATCACAAAATAGATCAGACTGTTTGGTTCTATTTCTCTTAACTCCAGCAGATATCAAATCCAAAATAATACATACCTGCACCCCTGCAGACATATATATGTAATAAAGTATTGCCAAGTAGAAGAGTGCATACAAATGAAGATAGATTGAAAGTATCCTGCCAGCTCTTAGACTGAAGCACTCCCGATTGCTGGCCTTTGGTGTTGTGGAACACTTGAAGGACTGTCTCATATTTTATATGTTCATCTTGTGCCAGTCTCAGAGTTCAGAGGAGAAAGCAAGCTTTTCTAGGCTAAGCTTATTGCTTTCTATTTTAAACAGATGGCCGAGTGAAAATTTGGGTTTATGGTGCTTCAGGTGGTGGTTTTCTCATCATGATATTCCTAGTATTTACTTCCTACCTTGTTTGGTAAGTACTAACTAGTAAAAGTTTATATTCCACATTTTTATGGGTGGCATATTATACTAAAAGAAAAAAACTATGTCAAGATCATTGACCATATAGAACAGGACTCTCAAACCTACAAATGATCACCAACAGTAGAATTGCTGAACTGGGAGATTAATTGTCCTTGTTTGAAATATTATCATTTTATTGTTTTCAAATATCAGAAAGTGTAAGAGAAAAATCATTATTCAGGGCTTTCCCATTTTAGAATTTGGATTTAGATCAGTACTTCTTAGCTTTGACAGCATATGGGCACTTCCAGGGGACTGATACCTGGGTCCTAGCCCCAGAGATTCTGATTGAATTAGTCTTGCATGTGGTCAGGTTGCCTGGATGTTTAAACATGTCCCAGGAAATTCTAATGTGCAGGCTGAGAACCATTACTCAAGCTAATTCTAGTTCTTAAATTTTCTTCTCAAACTGACCTGTTTTGACCAGTTATATTAAATTGAGCAGTTGGTTCAACCAACCTGTTAGTGCATTTTGAATTGTAGAACCAGGTGTTTAGCTACATTGACCAGCATGAGAGAAAATTTAACTGTCCATTCCAGGAACCCCATTTTGCAAGTGACTAGTTCTAAAAGTCTGTTATTCTTGGAAAATGATGATTAGTTTACTGTATAGAATATATTTTATTTGATGAGTTGCTCTTGAAACCAGACAGACGTAAATACATTTGAATGTCTTCAAAATGTGTTGAGAATATTTTCTTAGATGCCTAAGAAGAATTTTCAAAGGATTTTTTTTTATTAATTTTCATGAGATCAAAGTGTTACTTCGCTTTTTTCTCTAAATTGAGATTTATATTCATCACATGTGTCTCAGACTATTTCCTTGAGAATTTTTAACCCAAGTTTTAACCTTAATTCAAATCCAGTCTTTGTATGTTTTGCTTATGTTTCCAAGGTTACACAGTGTTTTAAATCTTTGCCCTCGGTCAGTGAAAGTGAAGAAATTGAGGTGACTAAATTTTTCTGCCACCCATAGTGATAGAAATTGAATTTCTAGAAGTTAGATTCCTATCCAGCTCGTGTTTGCACGGTGGTGTGGTAAAAAGTAACCCTTTAGTTAACCATTTACCCTGTAAGCAAGTGATTTGAGCACTTATGTTTGAATTGGTATTGTCTAGGTCCTGTCTTAATGAACGAATATGAGGTTGAAAGCTTTATATCAGGTTGAGAGTGATAGGAAGCATTCACTACTAGAAAAGATTAGAAAAAGAGGAAAAGGTCTTAAATTGCAACGAAGAACAGAAAGGTTTGACAAATGAGAAACTGCTCTCAAAGCAATGGCCCATACAGCATAAGATCATCAGCTAGTCTATCAGTCTGTAAAAGCTTGGATGTGTTCTACTTAATGGCCACATGCCCAGTTCCACACGCTATGGTTCCTTCTTCCCTCAGATATTTAAAAGATTAAAAATTAAAATTTAACTACAGTAGTAAATTTTGCCTTTTTACATTTCTGCATTCCCCCAACTTAAAATTGTGTTAACCTTGATCCCTTTCTTCAAAAATAGTTACTGATGCCCTTTCTGTATGACAGTAGGCTCCGGGGATTAATTAGGCAGGTCACTGAATTCTGGTGACAAACATAATTTCCTAGAGAGTATTTAATATGAAAGATCAATGGAATCATCCCTTACTTTTTAGTGACCAAATTATATAAATATTTATGAACAGTATTTCTCATTTTTTTCATTTTCAGTGCCCAGCCTTTATAATCCTCCTCTGCAAGCAGCACAGTAGCTCCCTACTTGGATTCTTTACAAGTGCTCCCTTCAGCTCTCAGTAGCCAGATTAGA